ACCTTTCTATATATAGCTTACTCCATTAATAAACCTTCCCCAAATCTTTCCCATTTCTCTGCTTCAGTACTATACACCGCCTACTTATCCATCTTTAATTTTCCTCTTCTTTTATTTCATTTCCAGTCTCTATTAGTTTATTTAGTTATTACAGAAGTTTGAATGTATCCTGCAAACTTTGTTTTCGTTGTAGAGATTTAGGCATTCAACTTTTCTCGTGTGTTTTATTTCATTTTTCCTTCGAATTCATATCAAAGAAAATGGAAGACCAGTTTGATCATAATCCGGAAAGCGTGGCTCCATCATACAGAGGAGTGCGCAAAAGAAAATGGGGCAAATGGGTATCCGAAATCCGGGAACCCGGGAAGAAAACACGAATATGGCTGGGGAGCTACGAAACTCCTGAGATGGCAGCGGCAGCTTACGATGTGGCTGCGTTGCACCTCCGAGGACGGGCTGCTCGCCTTAACTTTCCAGAGTTGATCGACAGTCTTCCAAGGCCAACAGGCTCCAGCCCGGAGGATGTTCAGATGGCAGCGCAGCAAGGAGCGTTGATGTTCAGAAGACCGGCGAAGAGTACTGCGGAGACAAATGTGGCAAGCGGTAGTGTAGGGCCGATTAGGGTGGGGCTGTCGCCGAGTCAAATTGAGGCGATTAATGAGTTTCCGTTGGATTCTCCGAAGATGTGGATGGAGCTGATGGTGGGCGACGAGCAAATGGCTTATGGCGGCAACAGTTCTGTGCATTGGAGTGACTCGGAAGAAATGATCGTTGAGTCCATTTGGGATTATTAATTAAGATGTCTTAATTAATAATGAGAAAATAAAAGTGTTAGTCTATGCCGACTAAAAAAAGGTTGTACTACAGTAGTAGTTCCTAATGCTAAAACTATGTATTTTTAAAAATTATCTAATTCCCTCTTAAATTTTTGAGTGAGGGTTAATTAAAAGGTGTTTATCAAAATTACATAATTTTGAATAAAGTTGAAGGTTGTTAATTAAGGTTCTTTAAAATGGTTAAGGTTTTAAGTTTTTAATTTTAGTTTTTATATAAATTTTACAACTATTAAAAATTAAAATTAAAATTAAAAATTTGTTTAAAATAAATTTTAACACTAGCTATTAAAAATACTTACTTTTTAATATTCGTTTTGTTCTAAAGTAACTATTAATTTTTACTTCTTCTCTAAATTAAGGATTTATGGATAAAATTTATATTTAATTATCTACAATATCTTTAGAAAAAATAAAATATAAAAAGACACTTTTTGTGATTGAGTGATTAATTCAAGTGAATGGATATTGATAGAATTAAAGTAGAAAAAAAATATTTATCTATTTTAAAAAATAAAAATATGACAATTAATTTAGGATAAATTCAATTTAAATGTGCCATGTGTCCCTTCTATTTCAAATTTGCTGATACAATTTCACTTGCGGCCTTTGGAATTTGGAGCACTTAGAGGCTGCCACTTGTCATCCATGTTGGCAAATTTTGTTTGTTGATTAAATCATTTAATTAATGAGTTATGTGCAAGATTTTTAAGATGGTTATGAGCGATCAAAGGGATCACAACAATTTAACTTTGACGGAATCAAAGCATCCATAAATGGTGCTGCCAGTACGTAGCTGCCATCTGGCGACTTTGTCAACTGAGTTCACATTGGGAATGGCTGATTTTTCTCCAAATTTAGCTCATGTGGTTGTTGCAACTGGCAGCAGATTAGTTAGGTCGTTGCAAGTAATTTCATGAAGCCAAGTAAGGTAGGCATGCTCCTCTCAAACTAGCCTTGCGCTATTTATATAATACATTTCAGTTTCAGAAGTTCTCATAAGTTGTTTAATTTACACTTTTTCAAATAGTCCTGAGATCTATGATGCCGTAAACTCTAGCACTAGTTTTTGTTGATGTATGTCATTTCTTTCAATTCAATTATGCAAAGCTTATGTCAAATTGATATTTCGTTATTTTCTACCAATTTTCATTTCATGTTGCCAATGCATTAATTGTTCACACTTCCTTCTAACAATTTAGTTTTCCTTGTAATTTAGTTTAGTTTCATTGTCATGCACTCTCTTTTCACTCTTAAGTTTTGATTTTCTCTTTTCATTTTAGTCAAAATCATAGTTCCATCAACTATATAACTAAAAAGAGATTTTAGAGACAACACAACTATACTATACAGAGGCTAAAATTATATAGATTTTGTATCAAGGATTGTAATTTTTTTTTTTTTTTTTTGGCGCAACCGACCAACACTATTTTCATTAACAACTAGGGTTGCAAAAAAGACTATTACAAAAAAAAAAAAAAAAAAAAAGAAGCCCGTCATTAGGTTTTCAGAGACTTTCTTTTTTTTTTTTGAAAAAATAAATCCCTAGTTTGGTGACATATATAATTTACCAGATTAATTGGTATCTAAGGGTTTATTTTTGGGTTTTGGCCCTGTTATGTACCAAGAAAAAATGAATATGCACTATCATGGATATATAATCTAATCATATATATTTATGTCTAGCTATTTTCGTTCTCGATCTTTTACAATTAATTATCATGTTGTATTTTGTATTTCCTTTTTCCTTGCTAGCACATCATATATATAACGGCTAGCTTTTTGTTCTATGTTACAAATATTTTTTTTTTAATTTTTATGATGAGACATATAATATAAGATAATAATCATTACCTTAAATTTTTGTCATTGATCTTAACATTTGAATATAAAATATCTAATTTTAAAATTTAAAATTTATCAACTAAGATTTTTTTTTCTTTAGTATATTGGATGATGGACTATAAATAGGAAATAGCAATTTCCTTTTCAAATCATTCTTCACACATCCAAAAATACTTGCATGGTGCTTTAGTTGTAAGTTTTTTTTGTCTTCTCTTTTTACCATTTAAAATATATGATAAATATTAATTAAAATTAAAATTATATATTATTTATTTTAAATATTAATATACCAAAAAAATACAATTACAATCACATTTTAACATTCACAAACAAAGTCTAAACCTTAAAAATGTTGTCTTTCACAGTTATAATGTTATATGTTGTATTTGATTCGTTTCTTCCCGCCGCGTCGTCGCCGCTTTTGGGGAGTGGGGAAGATAGAAACCCACGCTCTATAGCTCGCTAAACCTTTCCTTTGTGTTTTTTTAGACTGTAATGTTTATGTTGTATTACCATAGCAGTACCAAAAAACCCTTTTACCATTCAAATCGTTAGCTCATTGAGCTTTAAGTTTGTTCCTCGCTCCATTATCTCACTTTCAAAAATCAAAATTATAAAAAAATCTCATTAAATTCTTAAAAACATATATAATAGTTAGTGATTGAAAATTCTATATTTCTTCTTAACAAAAAAGTTATTTTTCCTTTTTTATTATTAATGTTGAAGTAATAAAAAATAAATTTTTTATCACTTAATTTACTCTGTTTACATATCAAAATTATTAGTGAATTATTTAATTAATTGACAGAAATAAATTTAAAATAAAGCATTTATTGTCTTGTAAAAATTAAAATACTGAATTGTAGCTCACTAACTCCGGAACTTGTAATTTAAAAATGGCATTTTCTTAAAGTATGGCGAATATAACTACGTAGATAATAGGTCACCTAAACTAGGACGGGTTTAAGGGGTTATGCTTATACGGAATCTAGTCAAAAACCCATTGGGTGGACTGGTGGTTCGGTTCCCACTAAATTGAGTCAGTGACAAAGCCAACTGGGCCAGAGTGTGCGTCACTTGAAAATGACATTTTAAATTGGTGATGGGGCAGGATTTGGAAGTACCGCCCAAATCCAAAATGGGCCTCCTATCCATGACTTTGAGCTCCTTTTCAAGTATCTTTTCAATGTTGGAAAGTACCTTTCCTCGATCTGCTGGAGCATTCAAGTTACAATCTTTGTGCCATACAGCATTGATTTATTCGTCCGTTTACCTTGGTCAACCAAATTGAAATGGGAAAGAAAAGAAAATTTTGGAACTCTAATCTAGAAAACGTGATTAATTGAGTATGAAAACTGAAAAGTATATGAGTGGATCGAGAGCCCATCTCCATTTCGTTCTTTTGTGTGTTGAATGTGTGGACTCGGGGCCAAATTTTTTTTCTCATTTCCTTTTTTTGAGAAATGGAAAATGCTTGTCTTCTTTGGTCTCATCTCTTATAGATGGATTTTTATGGGGGGTAAGTCTTTTCATGATCAAGCTATAGCTGGCAAACATGTCGTTACTGTGACTCACACATCGTAGAATGCCACTCACCCAGTCACTGGGTCATGACTCTAAACATGAGGTCTGGTTTTTGCCAGAGCACCACCCCTTCTCTATGCAATACATGCACACGCGCCACTTGATGGACCCAAGAAGTGATTAAAATTTTGGCTATTTTTGGGTTGCTATCAAGTCTGAAGTAGTAATGCTCAGGAGACGGAAAACATTTCTACTCTTTCACTGCCTAATAAACAGTTAATAGGAATTTTTTATATGCTTACACTGAATGAACCTGATTTTTCAGCAGGTTGACAATTGCCAGGTCTAAGGAGCTTCCCACCGACCAAGGTAAATCAAGTAAGAGCTAGCATTGGAGTTTGTGGAAGAATCTCACGTGCCTCAAATTCTCTTCTCCATTTTCACATCATATTATTGTTATGACTCGATTTCAAAATTAAATAAAATAATAATTAATGAATTTATTAAGAAATATCAATAAGAAAATAACATCAAAATAAACATGAAAAGTCCCTTTACTTTAAAGTGATTTACGTTTCTATAGAAAATAGATCAACCAGTACAGCAAATATATATTCAATATGTCGCTTCCAGAATACTACAACTTTATAATATCATTCTATGAATATGCATTATTTATAGAATCACCCTATTCAAAATGTCTTTTTTTATTCAAAAATATTTTGAATATAGAATAAGGTAAGAAAGTGAAAGTAAAAGAATGTGAAGGAACTCCTCATAGTTAAGCAAAATGACATGTCCTATTTATAGGATTAATGGTCTTATAACTCTTATTTGTAGATTAATAATAGAAATAAATTGAGCAATTATTATGAAATAACTTGCACTTAAATAAGACAATTAACTTATAACGACTAGTTTGATCAAATCTTTAATAGAACAATAAATTTAATTTATAAAATATATTATTTTATTTTTTTTATTAAAATATTTAAGTTCCAAGAATTTCCCCATTATTTTAATAAAAAATAAACTTTTTTTTTTGGTAAAGATGGATTATTAGACATAATAAATGTAGCTAAACCTTAAACTTTTACTTAGTGAGTCAACAATTCTTAATCCATAGTTAATGAACTAAATCTTAAAGTATGACCTCATTGGAAGATACAAGAATCATATCACACAACTAATGATCCGAATATTGAGTTTTTCATATAGCTGGCGCATTATGACCTTGTGCATGATCCTAGTTTTCATAGGTGATTTAGAAAATTACCCATCCAATTTTCATAGAAGCGACCTCACTTCAATACTTACATAAGTGAAATTTGTCAAGAGTACTCCCATAACTAAGACACCTCCTTTGTGAGTTACAAATTTCATTAAGAGTATATAACTCAACCCTCAATTTGTTATGGGATAGATGCATCTTCACCTTAGGAATGAGATCGGAATTTTTTCCATTAAATATTGATGCATCTCTCAACAATGACTTTTCTATGATTTGTTTTTCTCATTCAAAACTCAATTCTTAGAATTTGAGAAAGGTATCCTCATAAGAAGTTCTATATTATTGGGCTGGAATCCTATTCCCCTCCATGAGCACTAGACCTTGAACTATGATCATAGTTTTTTCTCCAACTTTTTGTTTTTTCAAAGGTCTAGTTGGTGGTATAGTGGGTATTGAAGAGATTCAACTCATTCTTTTTCTCACTTTTTCTTTTCACATTGACTGATGTGTCTACTAGCTCAAAAAATT